GAGGATGGGGCTGTCATGATGGGACTGATGGCCTTAGAAGAGGAAGGCAGGGAGAAACTGAGGGAAGGCCATGTGCGCACAGAGGGAAGTCAGCCCTTTACAAGCCAGGAAGGGTACCTCACCAGAAACTGACCTGGCTGGTAGCTTGATCTGGGACTTCCCGCCCCCTAGACCTGTGAGACATACATGTCTGCAGTGTAAGCCACACAGTCTTTGGTATTGCGTCATGGCAGCCCAAGCCAATCGAGACAGCCAAGGTCCTTAAACAGTGGCCCCTAAGGCCTTGCACCAGCAGGCCCATCTCCCTGTTTCTGATCACCTCTCTGACTCTTCCCGGGTCACTCTCTCCAGCCACCCTGGCCTCCTGGCTATGCCCTGAACGCACAGAGCATACTCCTGCCCTGGGGCCTTTGCACTCCCATCCCTTCTGCCAGGTATACGCTTCCTCTATGCAGCAGTTCTCAACCTTCCTAATGCCGCGACCCCTTCATACAGTTCCTCATGTGGTGGTGACCCCCAACCATAAAATTATTTTCGTTGCTACTCTATAACTGTAGTTTTGCTACTGTTATGAATTGTCATGTAAATATATTTTTGTTTTCCGATGGTCTTAGGCGACCCCTGTGAAAGGGTCGTTCGACCCCCAAAGGGGTCGCGCCCCACAGGTTGAGAGCCGCTGCCTATGGCGAAGTCCTTCATTTCCTTCAAGCTTTTATTTACTCGTAAAAGTCACTTTCCCAGTGATGCTGACCCTGAACACGATTTAAAATTGAAACTCACTTCCCCCCCACCCAGCCCTTGCCAGTCCCCTTACATGTTCTACTTTTTAATTTTCTTCCCATGCACTTACCACTTTCTAACATATGGTATGCTTTATTAAGTTTATTGTCTATTGACTGTTACCCCCTGCGAGAATGTAAGCTCCAGAAGAACAGAGATACGTGTCTGTTTTGTTCACTGATTAATCCCACGTGCCTAGAACCATGCCTGGCACACAGTTCCTGCTCAGTAGTTTTTGATGGAATGAATGAACCTCTTCACCTTTGGTGCAATAGCCTGCCCGCCAAGAGACCATGTCATACCAGGATTGCCCAGAAGATGGCAGCCGATGAACGCCAGAGACGTCTGGGAGCAGACGCTCTGAACTCAAGGTTCCTCCCATTAAACTCAAAGGCGAACCCAGGAGACAAAATCAAGTTCAACTTACTCCTAATGCAGACTTGTATTCGTGAGAAAGAGGCTTTATGTAGGAGGTTAGCTGCTGAGCTGATAAAGCCTTTATCTAATACAGGAGGCTGTTTATCCACAATTCAGGGGTAAAAAAAACAACAACTAAAAACAGCTGCTGAGAAGAACTGAGGTCAGACTCTTCCCACCGTGGGAAAAAAAGGAGAAAAGAAAAGGCCTGTGAATCTGCCTCATTCCTCCAAAGGATGGAAAAGTGACATCTGACCACTACCACCAAGCGAAGGAAGTAACCCTAAGAACTGACATCGCCTGCGGGTGTGGGGCAGCAGTTTCCTATCTTCCTGCGAACAAACTCCAAGATGCTCTATTACAGGAACCTTGAGCCTCCCACTGCAATACCGTCCTCTGGGCTCCCGCCAAGCCACCCTCTTCCCAGGTGCTTCAGTTACCTGTGCAATCAGGATATTGAGTTGCAGCTGTAACAAACCCTTCAAAGCCAAGTCCAGGGGAACCTGCCTTAGATCAAATTCGGCATCTGAGTGTGTCAGGTTAGGGGGAGGCTCCAAGGCAGACAGATAACTGCTTGCGAATCTGAGTCTACTGACCCAGAACTATCCAAGCCAGCTGGTTAACCTGGATACTGCTACAGTGACAACAAGGACGAGCATTTACTGGGCACTTCCTGTGCGCCAGGCATGTGCTGAGTGCATCACCTGCATTGTCTCATTAATCCTCAGGGCAACTCTCTGAAGTTCACGCTGCTCTTGTCCGCATCTCACAGATGACACAGAGAGGCATCACTCACCCAAGGACCCAGCCCGTTGCTCTCAAGCCCCCTTTTAACTGCTGGGAGAAAGGAACCAGCTGAGATGCACCATGGGTCCTGATGGGTCCTTTTGTTTTGCCTTCCCAGATTTCATATTTGCTTCAGTCCTTGCTGGCACTAAATGCGTCTGCCTAAGCTCTCGTCAAAACAACAACACGTCTATTGTTTTAGAAGTTGCCTCAAAGAGGAGACTGCCCAGCTTGGATCACCTGCCTCTCACGATGCGAATTCGGGCTCCTTAACTGGTGTCCTCGGTCAAGCCGCTTGGCCTCCGAGCTGGTTTGTTCAACCGTAAAATGGGGAGAACAGTCTTTATGAAAGGGCGTGTTCTATGCCAGGTCCGTGCTGTCCAACGCAAATACAGTAGGAGCCACACACACAAGCCACACGTATCACTTCAAATTTTCTAGCGGCCACATTAAAAGAAGGTAAAGGAAACAGGTGAGCCAAAACACTCGACATGTACTCACCGTTATTAGTTTTCATAATTTGTTTCATGTAACCCAATGTATTCAAAATTGTTATCATTTTCATATCAAATTAATATACGATTGTTAATGAGATTGATTCCTCACGTTTGATTTTCATAGCAAGTCTTCAAACTCTGGTGTGTACTTTGTACTTCTATCACGTCTCAGTTTGGGCTAGACGTGTTTCAAAGGCTCAGTAGCCACATGGCAAGTGGCAGCTGTGTCGGACGGCATGTCGTAGTCCCTGGTGAACACTGAGCACGCGGCTCTGTGGTCTAAGCGTCTGTGTGTTTACGCCTTGTGTGGGGCAGGCCATTTTCACTGGAGCCTGCAGGGACCTGCTGGGACCTGACAGGTCTGGAGGGTCTGCGTGTGGGCTTAGCAGTGGGCAGTGATAAATCCTTGGCCCCTCCTGCTCTGAGCAGGTCACTGGGTACCTTTGAAAACCTTCCTCCCCCAGATCCATTCCCTCCAGCATCACAAATAGGACTTTTGCATCCTCTGCAATTAGTTGTGTCCATTTTGATTTTGGTGCAGCGGAAGTGTTTGTAACAACTGCTCAACAGACTGAGATCCAAATAGGGTGAAGAGTGGAGAGAGGGGTGAGGTGACAGGCGGGCTGCAGGAACGGTGTCCTCCCTGCCCTGTGGGATCCTGGGGCCCAGGGCTCTGGTCACTGTGGCACTTGGACGCTCCTGGTTTCCAGTTAACTAATTTCACGGATTCAAAACACATTCATGTAAATCTATGTTGCTGGAGAACAGACCCTGAGATACCTTGTGAAGTGAAAGAAGCAAAGGGCAGAATACTACGAGCCAATGTGACCTATGTTTGGAATGCAAAATTTACTGGTAGGGGCTGACTTGGGAAGGGAACTGGGGACAGGACTGTGAGAGAGAGCAACTTTTCATGATCTAGCCCCATTGTGCCAGGGATGCCTATTACTGCTTTGCGTCTTTTTTGAGCATACAGTACTTTTTCAATTACAAAATAAACTAATTAAATACCCTTTCCCCATTCCCTCCCCCAAGTAATTACAAAGGAGTACATGGTCATGGTAGAACATTTCCAAACCTTGAAGGAAGAACATGAAAATGCTGTCATTTCATTGCTGGATGTTTGAGGACTTGGGGTCCTTACCTGGGGAGATGATTTGCTCTTAAATTAATTTTCCATGTATCGCCATTTAAGCATCTGTTGGGATTTAATTGGGCGAGAGGAAAAGACCAAAGGGGCTACTAATGCGTGTCAACACACATGTCCCCAATAAACAAAGCACCACACACAAATGAAGGGCTTCATATGCACCCCTCGACTACCAAACCACTTCACACCCACACACCAACAACTGAACAGTTCCCACCCAACACCTCCCAGCCATATCCCAAGCCCCAAAGCATTTCATACCCACAAACACATGTCCCCCAACAACTAAAGTTCTTTACACACATGCACCCAACAACCAATGTGCTTCACATGCACACACACACACACACACAAGTTTTCATTCCCCTATCAACCAAAGAACTTCATACACACACATGCACACATGCACACACACATACACACACACACACACCAATAACCAAAGCACTTCATAGACACACACACACACCCCCCCCGAAGAGCTTTACTCCCCTAACCAAGGTGCTTCCTACACTCTCCCATAGACCCCAACAACCAAAGCTCTCCACATGGACACCACCCCCGACAAAAGAAAACATCAAAGCACTTCGCTTTGTTTGCCTCAGCAGCAGACACTTGGAACACCAAGACAGTGGACTGCGACTTTCTTTTCAGACTAATGAGCAGAGAAAAGATTGGAGGGCAGGAGGGTGCGGTAATGGCGGGAGAGAGCAATTACACCCAAGTCTTCTCTCTGTTGGTGAGGGATTCCTTCTCCAGCCTGCACTGGCTCCAGCTAAATCTTTTTCTAATGAGATGTGGCTTATCCAGATCAGAGCGCTGAGAAAAAAGTTGCAATTAACTGGAAGAAGAAAAGGAGTGAGTGAGAAGGATGGAGGGGTAGAACAGGAGACTGGGTGGGGGCAGGGAGGCTCCCCTGCAGGGCCCAGGGGCATCAGACACTCTGACAATGGTCACCTCTCCTGGGAGTTCAGGGAAAGTCCCTTGTGACTCCTATGTCTGCGGGGGTCAGGCCTCCAGCCCCTCCAGGTTCAGGTGACAGGTTGGGAGCCGTAGGTCTCCTTGGGTCTGGGGACTTCCCCACTCTGCACCTGGTGGGGATGGTGGGGGAAGGACCCTCTCAGCTGCATCTCTTTCACACCTGAGCTCTTCCTGCTGTTGGCTTACTCCTGCCAAGACATGGAGCCCTTGACCAAACGCCAGGAGCCTCCTTGGTCCCCAGGTGTCATGTCAGCGCTCTGCTCCCTTCTCAGGACTCCTGGGTGCAGCCAGCTAGGTTCTCCCTAACTCACCTCACTGTTCCCATCTGTGAGTGGGGTCCCCTAGTTGTTTTCATGTGAGCCACTTAGAAGCGGGGAGAGGGTCTGGAATTGAAAGAGACATTTCATATTGAAATGGTCAAAATGCCTCCAGTTTCTAGAAGCAACGTAGATTTACCTTCCTTTGCTTCTCTATTGATAGATGCAAGCTTGACCAAGCTACGCTGTAAAATGGTCATTTTCTCTCTCTGGTGCTCAATTTCCTCATCAGTTAAGAAAAATACTGGAGGCAGGTAGGCATTGGATCTCCAGGGTCGCTGCCAATCCTGATGCCCTGAGGTCTGGAAAAAGGCACAAACACAGACGCCGGATGTCCCCAGTCCTCTGGCTCCCACGCTCTGCTTTGTACACCCACAGGACACTTACACACCCCTGCAAGCTCTTAGCCATGTGGAGACTAGTTTTTACCCTATTTGGCAATAAATGTTCAGCAATGCCTAAGGGCAGCCTTCACAAATCTTGAGGCTCCTACCCCAGTGCTTGTGGTGGGGTCTCATAATAACTGGACATCTGCGTGCCAGCCGAGCTGGGGACCCCAGGCTTGGATCAGATGGAATTGGGTAGGTGGGGTGGATGGAAGGGCACAAGTGGGGCATGCTCTCTGTTCTCTTTAGTCATACACAGCCTCATATGCTCAAGGGGCCCAGGTAGATCGCCTAAAGCTCTGTTTCTCTTTTATTTATTCTCTTATCCACAGCACTTCCTTTGCCTGTCCATGGACCTCCCTGTGCAAATGGGAAAGGGCTTTTATTGCACTGCTGGAGACTCAGTGGGGAAAAGTGAGCATGGAGCCCCTGAATCTTGCCCCACCCCACAAGCCTGCTTGGTTTCCAAAAAAAGGGCCCCTGCTTGTTGATGGCCACCCAGAAACATGGTCCCCTCAGGGAGGTGTTTGGGTGAGCACTTACCAAATAAGCCCTGGAGATGACACCAGCCAGGGGACAGATGAGCTACTCCCATTTTCCTGTTCCAGGGAGGTCAGCCTAGTCCTCAACCTCATGGCCTAGGAATTTCCTCAGAGCCTGGTTCTCCGGGTCCGTGGTCAGTCCTGCTTTCTGCCTCTGTCCTCCACCACATTAGCTACCAGAGACAATCCAGGCTGTTTTCCTATCTCTGGCCATTGCCAATCTAATAAGCATATGTACTAGAAATACTAGCTGGAGTGCTAAGTTAGAAATTCTTCTTAAACATATAGTAAGGTCAGATGAAGGAGAAAAAAAACCCAGAAAACAAAACACAAAACCCCGAAACAGAAATTGGACACAGGAGGGCAGATGTAGACTGAACAGGAAGTGCTGGCCCTGGGCTAAATGAAACAGCTGTCACCATTGTTCTGGGCTGAAAACTGCCTTTGCAAACTCCACACGGGCCGGGCTCAGAAAGCAGATGTTAATAATTACAGCACATGAAACGAAGGGCACAGGATTAGGCAAGTGACGAAAAAGAAATGGTACCAGTAGATTTATAACTCGCTCAGGCAAATCTGTTTGGGCTGGTGGGGGTGGGCAGGGCGGCCTCGCTGCAGTTACCCCTACTCAATCCCCTTCCTCGTTTGGCATTTTGGCTTCCTGGATTGTCTCTGAATCAGGGGATTGTGTCGATTGTTTCCCGGTGGTGGGCGGTGGAAGCCGGTGGAAGCCTTTCCTTGCTGCGTTTCCGGGGACCCCAGGCCTACAGGACTACATACAGCCCATTGCATCTGACCTAAAGGGAAAAGATACCTCCTCCATTCCCAACCCACCGAAAGGCCATCTCTGGGCTGACGAGTCCTGGAGTTGGGTGGCTCGCTGGTAAACAGGGACTCGTGGACACCAAGGTGGGCAGCCTTCCCTGCAGCTCTTGCTTTACCCAAGGGTTCAAGTTTAAATTCCAGGAGTTCAAGTTCTTTGCAGCTGAAACTGATTCACGCTTTAAAGTCAGCCAGCCCCCTGCACCTTGGAGGAGATGAGGGAGTGTGGGGAGAAGGCTGGGCCAGTGGAGGAAAGCAAGCAAAGCAAGTTTCTTGGGTTAACGCCAGAAATAGAAAAGGCAGAGAGTCTTCACGTGTTTTTCTGAACCGTCCTCGGTGCTTTTCCATGGGAGGCAGAGTTGTCAAAAGCAAAACAAAACAACACACACTCACTCACACCCACCCCAAATCGGCCCATCCCACCACCCCCTAGAAAGGACGTCTCCAGGAAAGGTTAGAAAGAAGGTAAACCATGTGTTTGCCATCTTTACGCCTGATATGGAAACCATATGCTTAAATACACTCACAAACATACTTAATATAACACTCTTTTATTAAATGTGGTTTTATAAACGCTCTCCCCAGCCAGGGCACCTTTGCTGTGCTGGAGGCTGGAACTTTGGCAAAATAATCTTCCCGCTGCTACATCTATTGATACACATTTTTTGAAAATGAGTCTCGGACCCTTGGAAAATAGACTGGTTCTGATTATTATTGCAAGCGGGAAGGGGCACACGAGGGCATCTTTTTTCCTCTGATAAATTAAAAGAACTGTAACGGGTGCTTTCTGCAACCTGTAAAAGGGCAGAGACATCTGTGATTCATTTAGCAGCTCCTTACAGAAGATTTATTTGATTAATTCGGTCAGAAGAGAGAGAATATGGATTTTCCCCTGCTCTGAAAGGCACATACTCACACATGCACACATGCACCCACCCATGGGTAGACATCTCAGGAATGAAAAATGACTAATCGTGTTATTGGAACTGGCCAACGTGGGGCCCCGGTGGTGAGCTAGCTGGCTCCTGCCCTGATGATGGGAGGGCAAGCTTCAGAACAGATTTAATATCCGTAGGCCCAATGTCACCAAAGAGCGACCCTGGAGAGTAGTCCATGGGCACTGGATTGCTTTGATTAGGCGTTGCGCCCTGGTGCCAGGCTCTGCACTGAGCACTTTGCATGCATTATCTCGTTGTGCCATCACAGTAACACCGCCCCCCCCCACACCCCTGCTGCCCGTGAGGAGACACACGTGATCATCTCTGCTGTAGAGACCGGGAGACTGCCCTGTTCCCAGTAGGACTCCGCTCAAAGCTCTTTTCACTTTTTTCAGATGGTTTTTGGCTTTCTCAGTCCTCCATGCCTAAACCAAGTGGACAGAGGCCACATCTTGTGTTTGTCTCATAGTGGGTAATCTTGAAGGGGCGATCTACACTGGCTGTGCTCCATGCCCTGTGGGTTTCAGCTCAGTGTTGACAGAGAAACTCTCCTTTGGGCTTATTTCTAAATCTCAAGGAGAGCTGGCTTCCTGTGGCCTTGACTGTCCCTATCCTACAAGCAATTGTCTGCAGACCAGTGCCAATTCCTGGTGGGTGGGAACAGCCCTTGAAACAGGTCCTTGGGAAGGCAAAGAAAACAGCGGTCAAGAGGAATCATAAAGTCATAGGAGACCTGACCCCCAAGAGGACTTTGGATATCAATGTCAGGAGTATCAAATATATGTCGAGGAGATGTGCCACCACTCTCCTTCCTGTGCACATAGCAGACATTGCTCATGGGTCCCAGCTCGCTCTCTCCGGCTAACCCTCAAAATCCTTCTCAACACAGCTCTCCAGGAATCCTCTAGCAAGAGATCAGAATTAGGGCATGAGTTGGGAGCTGTGTGCAGTCCCTTCTAGCAGAATGTTCCGTTTTGTGGCAGAAGAAAGGCCCAGAGAGAGGTCAGCTGCCAAGGCAGTTAGGAAGCCAGCTCTGAGCAGCAGCTCTCTAACCTCCCTCTCTGGGATTTTTTTTGTATTCACACCAGGAGGGACTGGTGGAAGCCAGAGTTCAGTGGGTCATACACCTCTGCCTTTTACTGGATCCCTGCTCTCACCCCCCACCCCGTCCCCACAGAATGCCACTGAAGCTGCTCTGTGGGCAGGATGAAAGGCGTCCCCTGGAAAGCTGCAGGAGATTGAAATCTCTTTGTTACTTTAAAATAATTAACTTCTAAACTGGGACAGAGTGGGGCAGACTGAACCCTGAACGTTTGACAACCCAGGGCCTAAGATTCTAGGAAGACGTGGAAGGTTTCCCTTTGGAAACGCTAGGATCAGCAGACACCCTCCACTCCAGACTTTCCCTCCTCTGCCTCCCTTGGCTGGACCACAGGAAGTGACGAGATCAAAGCCAACCAGGACTCAAAAGGCTGAAGATGCTGAGAGCTTGTCTCGGATGGCTGCCGCTGTCACCCTGTCCTCAGACTTTTCAGCTAGGCGAACTTTCTCTATGGGATGAGTGGCAGGGTTTATGGAAGGAGGGGTCTCCAAGTTCAGAAGCACCCCCAGAACCCCTCTCCTGCTGGTCCTTCCCAGGACCTGATCTTAAATGTTTCTCAGCCTGAGGTGGCCCAAGAGGGTTTTGAAGGCTCACTGTCTAGTTGTGCAGAATGTCTGATTGGCAGAAAACAAGCTTTTCCTTAGAAGAAATGCAACGAAGGACCAGGGCTGGTTTAGAGGATCAGAGAGCGAGCCTAAAACACTGCATCTTGTGAAGGGAGGCGGCCATGGCACAGTGAGTCTCGAGAGTCTTGTCAGGACCCCGTTTAGCAAGGTTGCCTGTTGGGTCTTCAGGGAACCTGCCTAAGGAATCGATAAGAGTTAGGAGTAACTTGCATCTCAGCTATTGGGTGACTCCTGGGTGTTTCTGCAATTTTTGAGAAGGCTTGAACACACTTTGTTTAAACATGTCTTCTACAATTTTGTTTACGCTATGAATTTGTAATTCATAGTGAAGAAAAGTTTGCTAACCGAATCATACTCTAGCCCAGCACAGCCTCTTGAAAAGATCACAAATATTGAATTAGTAAGGTCCCACATAATGAGGATTTCACAGGCCCAAATGACACCCCTTTGGTCAACCCCTTTTGTTGACCAAAAACCATTTGTTGAATAAGGCGTTTCTATTGTGGAAATGGTTTTCCAGAATATTCCTGACTGCGGAGGTGATTGAATAGGCTGGAGAAGGAGCCAAGTTTGGGCAGGGACCGGGTGGGTAACGGAGACAGAAGGCCTCAGTGCACCATTTTGGATTCTACCTCGGGATAAATGAGCGGGCTAAGGTATGTTTGATTTGCCCCTGGGAATCTAATAAAAGGAAGGGTCCTGTGCCAGTGGGAATTACAAACAAACTCGGTGGCCAGGCAGGTATTCACTAACTGCGTAACCCTGGGCAAGTTAGATAATCTCCCTGTGCTTCAGTTTCCTTCTCTGTGAAATAGAGGTAATAATAACACCTACCTCATAAGATTGCTTTGGAGATTAAATGAGATAAAGCACTTAGAACAGCAACTAACAGGTAGTATCAAAAAAACTGACAAATGGATAAACAAAATATCGTCTGTCCATACAATGGAATATTACCTAGTCCTAAAAATAAATGCAGTTCTGATCCATGTTATCATGTGGTGAACCTGGAAAGCATTATGCTAAGCAAAAGAAGCCAGACACAGAAGGCCACATATTGTCTTGTTCCATTTATATGAAATGTCCAGAAAAAACAAATCTATAGAGATAGAAGGTAAATTAATAATTGCTTAGGGCTGGTTGGGGGGATAGAGGGATAGAAAGGTGAGAGGTGAAAGAGTACAAGGTGGCTTTATGAAGTGATGAGATTTTTCTAAAACCGATGTGATGATGACTGTGATTATACTGGAAACCACTGAATTGCATGCTTTAAGTGGATGAATTGTAGGTTGTGTGAATTACATCTCAATAGGGCTGCTAAAAAAAGGAAACATGTTTTTAAGTGAGTGTAGTTATTACAGAAGAGGATGATGGAACCTGTGACAACGAGAGAGTGTTGACGCCACCTAGAGACATTCAGATTAAAAAAAGAAACCTAGAAACATGGCTGGAGGCCAGACTCACCTCAGTTTCCCCATCTGCTAGGAGACATAGAAGTTCCTCCCTCAAAGGGCTGTAGAAGGAAAAATGAGATAATTCATGTACAGCACTTAGCCCAGAGCCTGGTACATCTTACACACTCAGGAGGCAGCAGTGGGCATTGGGACGCTATGCAGGACGGACAATGACAAATATCCACAGCCAACCTTCAGAGGTTCACTGCCTTTTTCCTCATCTGTGATAATAAATCATGCCCTTTGCCCATTTTCCTCTTAGGCTGTCTTTTGTCTTACTGGTGTATGGATACCTTTACCCTGCGTACCCCCTTCCCCAGATTCTTTTGCCATCAGAGCAGCTGAATTTCTGGGGGCGTAGTGAGACCACCACTCTTCCTTTCTGTTTTGCCCAGAAAAGTACAAGGCTTCCCAAGTATGAGTGCCTTCTATCAGGGTTGCTGCCAGTCATACAGTACCTCTGTGCAGATTAGAAAAAGGGGCCTCTTCAAGACATACTACTTCTTTCTGTTGGAAAAGTGTGATAATATACAGATTTTATTAGAATAGACACTTTATTGAAATCCAGATTGAATACATATACAATACATATAAATATACAATAAATATACATACAAGTCTCTGATGTCCAGGATGTGATTGGCACTCCTTTGGTGGGGGTGCCCTGATGCAGTACACAACCTGCCCAGCTGTATGGGGTCTCCGTGCTCCTCACTTCTGAACAACCTCTTCATGGCACACAAACCCCACGTGCGCCCTCTGGCTGAGGCCTGGTGTTTCGAGGCTCCATTCCTGGCCGCTCCACCCTCATCTTGCTGTTTGACCTCAGGCTTTTCACAGTATCTTTCTGGGCCTCTGGGATATTTGCTCTGTCTTTCTTCTACATCACTTTTAAAGGAGCTATGGCTGTGGGAAGCCTTTGAAGAGTCAAAAGGGACCTTGCCGAAGTGTTATTCATACTATGGAAGCACAGTAAAGTTGTCATAATCTAATAGCATTCGTCAGATTTCCTTTACGAGCTGGTGGTCCCGTGCCCCTTCAGCCAGCTGTCAGGCGTGCCCCATGCCTGGGCTGTGGCCGCCTTCGGAGGGGGCACATCCAGGATTTCTTGGCATCTGTGATGGTGTATCTCATGTCATCTGAACTTGCTTTGCACAGTCAGAGACAGGCTTCTGTGCCCAACCAAGTTTCTGTACTCTGTGTGTTTGAGGGGCCAGGCACCAAGTGGACACCCCGGAAGTTGTCCTATTCTAACTCCCTACATGGCCTCAGTGCTGAGCCCGGTCTGTAGGTCTCCGCAGTGGCCTGCAGCGGTGAGAGTGGATAGAAACAAAAGCCGGGCAGTCCCTCCGGCACCAGGACCCCTGACAAGAGTGAGACGGTACAGAGACCTCAGGGCTCCAGGGTTGGACGAGATTGTTCTGTGGATTCCTGAGCATTTTTGCAATTTCTAAGAGTCTCATGGAGTGGTATAGTGACTCCCAACAAGGTCACTTGGGCTGACTGACACTCCACATTCCTTTGCAGTGATCTGGAATGACATTGGCTGGACACGGTGACGCTAATTCACCCGTGGTTGTCAGAAGCTGCCCAGATGGCAGGACTGACTGCAGCTAGAACTGGCTTTTTAAAGTAGGAAAGCAAATTAGTCCATAATAAGTGCATGTGCTAGGTAGACAAACACCTTTCAAAATGTTGAACCATAGGGAGGAGCAAATTAATTGCAAGTGTTCTTGGGGAGAGGAAAGCCCTTACTCTACTTAATAAATACCTTCAAATGGCTCCTCTGTGCTATACAGTGTGTTGGGGTGGGAAGAGTGATATACCGGAAGAGAAGGTCTCGCTGCCATGGAGCCGATGTGCTTACTATGGGAGATAGACAATAAACAGGGAAACAAAAGTGACCTTCCTTAGGCGCTTACTAAATGGTAGTTATTAATTTAAATGTCTACAATAGGGGATTGGATATATATATATTTTTTTAAATAAAGTTTATAGGGGTGACAATTATTAGCAAAGCTACATAGATTTCATGTGTACATTTCTATAATACATCATTTATATATCACATTGTGTGTTCACTGCCCAGAGTCAGATCTCTTTTCAGCACCATATATTTGAGGTTTAGCATATTTTAATACACCTACACTTGGATTATTTTGTAACCAATAGAAACACAGTTTTGAAGAATATCTAATGACCCAGGAGAGTGCTCATGGTTCATTCATCAAACACTAGCTGAGCACCTACTCTGTGCCAGGCTCTATCCTGGGCTCTGGAAACAGAGCAGAGAGCAGCCAAGGCAAGCTCAGACAGGCTCCCTGCTATTCTGGAACTCCTATCCTACGCTGGGAGACAGTTAGGAAGCAAGTGGAAAAATACCCAAACAGGAAAAGGTCAGATGGAGACAATAAACAGGGCGACACAGGAGAGACCGCCTGAGAGAGGGGAGGGGGCTGCTATAGCCTGAGTGGTCAGGGAGGGCCTCTCAGAGGAGGTGACCCAGAACTAAGAGGTGGCCAGTAGGCGAAGATGAGGCAGCATCGTGGAAACTTTCGGACCAGCTAGCCTTTCTTCGGTTCCACAGATGGGGGCACTGAGGTGATGTGGCTTGTTTTGGAAGTCAATGGCAACGCCAGGACAGAGCCTTGGGCCCGGGCTCCCTGGACATCGCTCTTCCCATGGGTGTACCATCCTGACTCTCGGCAAGTGTCCCTTCTGAGTGCTCTTATGAACCTAGGGACATACAAAAAAATGCGTCTATCAGGCAGGTCTCAAGGGGTTCTGGAAGTCCTACAATATACATGGCACTAGGCCCGGAGTCACAAAGAGTGTAACAGACCAAGCCATGAGTTATATCCACACCCACCTAGGAAAATGAGGCAGCGACGCCAGAGAGCGTGGATGCTACCAATAGGAACTGAAGGCATTCCCAGGAGGAGAGGTCATCAAGGCTGCGCTGGGAGATTAGAATCTCATTTATTGACAGACAACTTCTCAACCCCCATTCCATCACGCCCCAGCTCCTGGCATGAGAACCCGGGGAGAGGAGGAGGTCTTCTGCCTTGCACCCCAGGTTAAGGGTCGCTCAGACCGCCAAAGGAACCCCAGCCCATCGATGCAGCCACAGGAATGATGTGGGAGCAGCCTCACCCCTGTTCATCTCTGTTCCTTATTGCTCTGCCACACCTCCCATCCCCCGTGCCGCTGCCTTTCATCTCAGTCCCACTGAGCTTGGCCTGGTTTGAGGTCTCCTGCTGTGGCGCCCCAGGCTGGGTCTCCAGCTCACAAGGACTCTCTCTCTCTCTCTCTCTCTCTCTCTCTCTCTCTCTCTCTCTCTCTCTCTATCACAGCCTGGATCTGGCCCCCTGGCAGCTGAGCTGGGGCAGAAGGTCCCTCAGGACCCAGTAGGAGGTAACGAAGGCAAAAGGTAACGTTGGCCCAGATTGGGGAGGATTTTGCAGGCAGCGAGGCAGATGCACTTTGATGGGCCATGGGAGCCACCTCACCCTGGCCTCCTGAGTGGCATGTAAGACCTAAGAGGGGCCATTGTCAGTAGCGGTCAGGAGTTTAGGCTCTGAGTGGGAGACTGTTCACATTCCAGTCTAAGCCACGTCCTCCCTGGGTAAGTAACCATGGCCACGTTCCTTCACCACAGTGTACCTCAGTTCGCTCATCATAAAATAGAGACAGTAAGATTAGCCACTTCATAGGGTTATTATGAGGATTAAATGAGGAAATGTAGGTGAAAGCGCCTGGCTCATTGTAATCACTCTGAACTGGAGCTGTCGCTGATGCTAAAGTCTCAGCAAAGTCTCAGCTGACTTTGGGAGGAACCAGCCAGCCCTGTGGAAGCACAGCTACCATGGTTCTTGGAGCCTCTTTCCTGCGTTCTGCATGGAGCAGCCTAGCTCCTCCTTTCCTGCATGCTTGTTCTGTTTTCTCCTCTGGCTTCTTGGCCCAGGTGGATCTAAGGACCTCTGAGGGACTGCCACAGAGTCTTCCTTCTTCTTCCTGCACCTGCCTCTTTTTGCTCTGGCTTGTGCTCACAGCTGCCCATTGGACCTTCCAGCCCTGCTCAAGGTCCTCAGTGGCTCCCTGTGACTGTAGAGGAAATAGCAACCTCCTCAGCTTTTAATGTAAGACCCTTAGCAATCTGACCTTTTCTTAACTTTTCAGTCTTAGGTGAATCTGGGACATTTAAGCCTGAGTTTGAATCTGGGCTCCATAGCGTCTGAGCTGTCGAAACCTTGGGAGATGTACATAACCTCTATGTACCTTGGTTTTCTTATCTGTGAAATGGAAATAATTATACCTGCCGTATCAACTTCACAAGGATGTTTGAGGATCAGGTCAGCAGGAATGTACACGCTATTTGTACCTAGAGAGTGACTCACTGTGTTTGGACCACACAGTGGTTTCCTTTCTCTGGGCCTCTGTTTCGTCATTCCCTCCACTTGGGGTGCCTTGTCACCCTCAGTCACCATTGTCCAAATGTGTATATCATTCAGAGCCCAGGGCGAATGCCATGTCCTCCGTGAAGCTGCCCTCGTTACGCTGCCTGGAACCTCTCTCTCTCTCTCTCTCTCTCTCTCTCTCTCTCTCTCTCTCTCTCTCTCTCATGCTTCCTAGATCACGTTGATCACACCTCTCTCAAACACCTGTGACGGCCTCACTTCATACCTGCCTTCCTCCACTTGCCTTATCTCCTTAGCCTGTGAGCCACTGGAAGGCAGGATGGTACTTACATCAGCTCTGGTTTTCCCATGGGACCTTCCCCCCCCCTTCCCCCCCGCCCCAAACAATAGGTGCTTGATGAGTACTTGTCAGAAGGATAGGTGACTGAGTGGATGAATGAGTGAATCTGGGTAGAGCAGTGGTGCACTGAAGCCAAAGCGATGGGACTGATCCCCTCTGAGGCCTGTTTTGTGGCCCTAGATGACTTTGCCTTTCCCCACATGTGGCCCAAATTTTCACAACCGTAATGGACCCAGAGTCCCTCTATAGGAAGGGCTTAGGGGCAGAAACCTGATTGGAGGCTGGGGAGGGGGCTTGTCTGGAAGCTGTGTTATGTAGAGATCCCCCTCACTGGGGATGTACGTTAGGGGAGCGGCTGGTCACACAACTAGACCAGGGAGTGTGGATGAGTCAGTGCCACACCTCACTCCTACTGGGGGGTGTTTCCCAAGTGTCTTCCTGGGAGGGGGGTGGGGAAGAGCAGGGTTGCATAGGAGCTGGGGATGTGACTCCGGGCGACCTGAATTATGTCCCCCACACAGGAGCACCTGATTTATTATCAGGGACTGAAACACACGGAAGAACAAAGGGCCCTGGGGACATTTGTGACCCAGCTGCTCCCTCTCCATATTGAGCCAAGGCATGTACTCTCAGCAGTTCTCAGAGCCCCTCCTCAACCCCCCCCCCGCCACTGCTATATTCTGGGGCCACACATTCCTCAGGCAAAGCTGAATCCTA